GTCAGGAAGCAAAATTGGCCAATGGAATTCTCTCGAGCCCGATACAAAGGAGCTTCTAGGAAAATCATGGAGTTGAATATGGTATGAAATTTAAGCACATATTCGGCCATAATCGTCCCTCTGCCGATCTGGGAATACCGTTCGACTTATATTCACCCACACTGCGCAGAGAACGATGAACCCGTGCTTGAAAATTTACCAAAGCATCTAAAGGTCTCTCTGGGTATTTCGAACTGGGGTAGATAGTTAGATCGTTAGTACTGCCTACTTTGTTTTTATAGCTTTTGGTATAAACTGGCAGGATGAGAAATTGAGGTACTGGCTAGTACTGAACATGTCCAATAGAATCAGATAATTGACTGATTGTACTGAGATTGGTTGAGCGATCCCAGGGGATCTATATAATCTTACTATGGCGTGTAATGACACCATAGTTCTGAATCCCATACGAACAGTTACTACGGGAATTGGGTGAACGATGAATAAGCCAATCCCGAAGGGTCCTAGTGGTATTTAACCATTCCCTCAATTCATCATAAAACTAATACATTTCGCCCCCAACGCCTACAAGTTGGAATGGCAACTGTTTACCATCAAGGGACAAAGCGTTGAACCCCATAACAAGGCAAGATCCTGAGGCTTGAATACAAGGAATATATCGCGAGGGCGTCGACATCTCTTCATCGACGGTACCTTTTCGGCCGGTTTGTGGCTGTAGGCAAATAAGAAACCCTGGTTATCATGTGCTGGCGGGTGAAATGGAGACTTGGGCGGCATGAGGCCTTGCAGTAACCGCGACTTGCGGTGGAATATATGACGGCCAGGCTATCGGAATGAATGAATGGGGGAAAGCATTTTTTCTCACGGGGGCAAGGGCGAAAAGTTTGCAGACAAAAATTTCCGTGGGCAGGCAAGCGATTTGCCAAGGCGAGTCTTCCATGGAACGCTTCTACATATTGGCTGCGTGGAAGCCGTTTCACCTTGTTGAGCAACGTTGAGGCCAATGATTCGCAAATCAATTGGCCACGGTGCGAGCGAATATTGGCAGACTTCTGAAGCTACGTGAAATCAAGCTGCCGCGGCGAGTGGCCCATGGCATGCCACTTCAATACCCACCCTCTCGCATTCACTTTGTTCTCAGGGGATTGGAGTGGTAATGTCTTTACAAAGGCGCGGCTGATCGCAGAGGTTTGATCTACGAAAACGTAATCGACCTAATGTCTGGACAACTATACAAGGGACTCTGTTGGGAGATGGGGCTGTGTGAATCAATCCGCGCCGTACTATAGCTTGTATCTCCTGCTATTGTGTAGGTGTGCTTTCTTATCACCGATATACGAGGTAGGCAATAAATAACTATGCAGTTTGGCTGGCGATCCAGGGCCGCAATCTGGCATAGTGTTTGCCTGTCTTTGATGAGGTGTTCATTGGGTAGGGTATTGTGGTCATCATTGGTGGGTGAAATGAAATGGCATGATCTGTTGCCGTCTCAGCTGTCGCAATAACGTACGAGCCCATGGTGGTGGATGTTGAAACGGGTCATCGATGCTTTCCTGCGGCATGCTCACCACTGTTGAAACGGTGCCAACAGTGAGAAAAGGAATTGCATAATTTCGAGTCGCCAGGGAAAATGCGATGTCTTCGAATGTTATGTTCAAATGTTGCGTCAGATAAATGATCAAGTGTTGAATGACTGCAATTTAAGAGTGATTTGTGTTTAAGCCCTCACAATTCACAATGGTGATCTCATTGAAGCAGACTGAATGCCTGGCTGGATGAATATAAATACCTGATCCTTCGCCCGCTGAAGAGTCGTTCGCAAGCATTCCTTTGTGATTTTGGATCAAAGAATTTCGATCGTGATTCGTCTTCGCGGCTACTCTGGTATGGATTGACCTCCAAATCATGCAATGAAATAAGCTGACCTTTAATTTCGCAACGGCCTAGTCTTTCTCAAAAATAGAGTCTTCAGACGGCAAGTGAGTGTCGCTTCCCAAACATTTAGAATCATGCTAACTTGGAAGATGCTTGATACCAGCCCCGTTTCCGCTTCTCCTCGAATAACCCATTGAGCGAACCTTTCTGGATCCCGAATAGCCCAAGCTGCGAGCACAGTGACTTACAAGTTGCCTTCATGAACTGCCTGCTGATGACTGATGATAAATAGCTGTCATCCTTTATACAGTCTCCTGCGGCGGACAGCAAGATCTGAGAACGTACATTTCAAAACATTCCGCAATTTCAAGACGACCCTCTATATAGGATGGCAATCTTTGTATCGCGAATCACTCAATGTCTTGTAAGTCATGCTAGTGCTTTGCCCCTAGTCCATCCCCAACACCCCGTACTACATTTCAATCTCCTTACAATTGCTATCCGTTCGTGGCTCTCTGTTTCTCAGCAAATGTCGCTGATGATTTTTTTTCGTCATAGGGCGCGCGTCAAAATGCCCTCAACCTGACAGAGATATGGCCCCCTCCCCCGTCTTCGAAACCAAACCAGCTTTAACAACCTGATGGGCCAAGCCATGAATATTACTACGCTCGCGCCTTTATTGTTTCTGAGCACGTGGTTGAAATGGCCAATTCACCTGGCGCATTTAGCGAGCCTAACCCAGGAAGGCTTGATGCTATCTGCTAAGCCATACAGTAAGTCTCCAAGGTGTTTTCGTCTCTTCAGTATTACCCTTTCCGATCGAAGGCCATTAACCGTTTTATCAAGAACTTGCCATATTCCGACAGCTATGAATATCTTGCCGACCTCCGACCTAAAGTCTCGTGAGCAGCCATGACCCGGTCCCATACTGGGCCGAGTGAGCCATTGCAGCATCCGACGGCATCAACGAGAAATCTAGCATCGACGGGCACCAAGAAAGGCCATGATTTCTTTTCTCCGGGTGTAAAATCAGCCAGCAATGAATCGAACCTGAGGCCAGCTCTACCAAGCCCAGATTGCAGCTCAGCAAGCGACAGGCCAGGCCGAAGCACTGGATCTATACAAGATATCTCACCATGAGAACAGTCGCTTCCAGGTGAGCTTCTACTTCGCCCCAGACCAAATACCATGAACCTCTCTTTCAGTGGAACTTTGTACTAACACGTTCGAAGATTGACCTCTCACACGAAAAGCAGAGACGAAGTAGCTATGCATTCGCAGATAGTGCCAACATTCATTTGCAGCGATACGAAACGACACTGGGCCCTGGTCCACGCGTAATCGAGCTGAGCCCGCTACATCTCTGGTTGGCTTTCGCTGATCCCAAACTACATCAACGGCAAGTCTGTACCATCCTTAGCCACCAGAAGACTTGCTGATATGGAGAAGTAGTGAAACGTAGCACTGCTTCAGCTGTTCCTACAAGTCCGATCGGGATAGTGTATTGCAGCTGGTATTAGGATTCTCATATAAGCCGCGAGCACGGTCAGTTGCGAGCACCCATCTTGCGCCAGTTGCTGACAATTGGTGCTAGATCGAGTATCACCACGGCAAACTGTTTTGCCTGTGGCCAATGCAGACGGCGATTCAAAGCATCCCCCGTGGCTTATATCTAGAACTACGTTCTCACGGCTGGAGGTTTGTGACAACTGACCTTTTTTTGCCAAACCGCTTGTATGAAGATAACTTCCCCTTCCAAACGTGGCCGCAAGCCAATCGAATGCTCCACAGATGAAGTCTGGCAATCCTTATATCACGCATCATGACCGAATTCGCTGGAAAGTTGCTGCCAGTAGAAGGTTGTTGCATGGCCGAAAACAGGAATCGACCTGGAGCTGGGCGGGAATGCATTGTAGGGCCGACGGGTGCGAGCCAAGGGAGTCACTCTGCCATACTCGAGGTTGCTTCGTTCCTGGCAATAAATCGCAATTTTCGCATTCTTGTGCCCCGGGTCACCACCGAACCGCACGAATCCACCAGCGGACGAAGCCTCGCAAATTACGGCCGTTCGATTGCCGCAGCGGTTGCAATTGCTCAATTATTACTCGAAGGATGCCAGGTGCGTTTGTGATAATTGGTAGAAAAGTCGTACTTATTGACCTCGGACGTAGCTGTGATGTTCTGCCATTGTGGGCCTGTCACTTGTGCCCGACGCGAGACGCTGCGACGCGTCAGTGCACGGCCTTGTCGCCTGTAGTATACTGCCGGGTGCTGCCTTAGGTCGGTATCAAGGGACGACAGAAAACACGAGGCCCATGAGAAAAAACACGCGAGACGAACCGGAGACAAGCGGGTTGTGAACACGATGCATGAGCGAGAACCGTCTTTCTGATGAATGGTCATTCATCCAAATGCGCCTGCGGGAATCGAACCCGGTTCGTTAAGGAAGCCAACGTGGCATATTCGACTAGACCACGGCAGCTGATGCGCTGAACGCGCGAAATCTGCCTCACTATATCCGACAACTTCTTAGAATATCATAGCCACCGTAGTCTCGACTCTCGACCAGTACTCAGCTACATTACCCTTTTGAGCTCCATAAGAGTCTCTCATTTGGCCATGCCAGTGGAATATGATATTCGAAAAAGGGGACCAGAATACAAGGCTTGAATTGCTGACATTCTGATGGTTGTTTCTCATTCTCCTGCTACCATGAACGTGCGCGCCTGAGGATATATATTACGCACATGATGATCATTTATCGACATTACCTAAGAGCTGTGTATCACCAAAGAATATGCGACGAAGCTCAAGCCACTTAGAAGAGCGACCCGAGTGAAATGATGAATCACTCTATCGCCAATAGATGTACATGGTGTACATACCCTTTAGTTAACATTTTTGAACTGGTAAGCAATGTTGATTGCACCACGCAACTCCAAGTCCATAGTCGGGGTTTTGAAGAAAAGTCTATCCGCAGAAAATGACATCGCGATCTGCTGTAATGACAGATTACTGTTTATCTAAACCTCTGGTGTGAATAGAGGTTACGATTGCTTGAGATATCCGTTGCAAGAATGATATGCCGTGTGATAGATACAGGTAGCTGTACAAAGGGCTCCAGATCAACTGTTTCCAATCTCCCGTATCATCCCGGCAACCTTACGAGCCATAATGTCATTATCTTCTACACAAGATATCAGCAGCGGCTCATGCACTTCCAGAGAATGAAAGACTTACTCAAACAGAAAGCATGCGGCAATCCCTCCTCGCAAATAAACATCCTCGGCCCCAGCCCATCATGCTGCCCTCTTGATGCAATAATCTCGTCCCTCGTCTGCTCCGCAACCCAATGATCATTGCGTCCGAAATAGAAGAATAGTTTCGTGATGGGCTCACACGCAGTAGCAAGGCCCCATACATCGTCCGTCCATTTGTCCGAGGTGATAGTCCGCATCTCATCGGCGGCCATGTGTCTAACCAATTTTACAGTTAGGCCCAAGCAAGTTACTCATCTGGGGAGAAAAATCGAAACATACAGGGCTTGTCTCACGCGGTCTGTGCTTCTAAGGAATGTGACTGTCGTGTCTAGAGCGTGTGTAGGGGGATCGTTCATGACGAAACGAACTAAAGAGTATAGAGTAGTCGTGGGAAGGACAAGAATGAGGAATCGAGCGAGGGAACTGGCGATAACAGCGAGTCGCGGGATAAAATATAAGAGGGTCTAAATATCCCAAGGTGATCATCAGCGAGTTTGAAGGGAAGAGTGGAGTGCTACAGTACCGTCAATTTTCTTCCCGAGGGCGAAACCGCAATATCTAGCACCGTCGGAAATAGCATAATACCACCAACAATATCGAAGGCTGGCCTTGGCCTGATTGGTTGAGACGGATTCAAATTTAACCCAGCTTCACGGTGCCTTCTCACTATTTCCATCGCGATATACGCCCCCGCAGAGTGTCCAATTAAAATGACCTTCCGTCTTTGAGCAGTACATAAACCTTGATCAGAGGTACCAGTATCATCATCCATCAAAGCCGCGAGCTTCTCCTGGACGAAGCATATCTGATCCTCCAGGCCATAGAGCCTGGTCCTTTGGTTCGAATCGTCCTGATTGTCGCAATTATGAGACCCATATGCAGATTTTGAAGGTGAGTATTCATCATCATGCACTTCGAAGCCGCCAAGACTACATCCGTAGATGTGGTACAAGTATGACTTTTTCCGCGTCGGCTCGTCGGAATCAGTGAGATACCGCACTAGCAAGGATAGGAATGAGTGGTAGTACCCGATCAGACCCGGGTTCCCGGAGATGAAGAATACGGTAGTATTGGTTTCAACTGGGGACCCTGTATAGCAGCGAAAGGTGTTTTGATCAGCCTGGCATTCTATGACTGGAGTATTTTGATGATGTGGACCAAGTCCCTGTGTATTTAGTTTAGGCTGTGTGGGTCCTTCAAGTGTGCTTGACTGCTCGTAATATCTATGGGGTATGGTTAGTCATGTCCACCACAGAAAGAGATTCAGCTGTTTGCAACACCTATTGCAGCATAGGAAACACCATTGACGCCATATTTGAGGATGGCTGGGTTTAAGTTGGAGGTTACGGAGCCAAGTGGAGATCGGAGGCTTCATACAGCATGCTGTTAGAAATATGGATCGGTCGGAGATTATGTATCTGAAGGGGGAGAGGGGGGAGAATGCTTGACGCGAGAGTGATAATATGGTATTGAGCGTCATCTGTCTCGTGAAACCAGACCTTGGTTATTGAGAGAAAGGCGACAGGTGATTTTTCAGTATCCAAATTATTGCCTGCACCTGGCAGAATGTGCAGTGTGTCGTCGTTCGATTCAGAAGCAGGGTATGGAGAATTGGCACTTCATGGCCAACCGGTGACGTATTCTGAGCAGACCGCTCTCGCAACCCAAATCTCCCAAGGAACAAACCTTATCATAGGAAATAAATCCCGCGCCACCTATATTTGGCCAAGGCAAAGAATTCCTGGTTTCTTGAATGAGAATAAGACTCACTCAGGCCAGAAAGATCCACGCAATGAGCCAGAAAAGCAAAGTGGCCGGGGAGACAAGGGTATCATAGACTTCTCGCCTTATATTCTCGTTCAGATGCTGTATTTGGCGCCAATTTTACCGCTATTAGCTGTGACAATCGTTGAAATATAACTGAGTACAGTTAACCAAATCTTTGCTACGTTGATTACGTATTTCTTTTCCAAGTCCACTGGTTGGGGTGAATAAGTTGAATTTGGATAGTTATTACTAGACCTCGCCAAACGCAGCTTTGGGTTGGGGGTTCAATTTCTTTACCCTCCCGCGGGCAACCCAACGTGGGTGTTGAAATATCCCAGTTGCTGAGATAATAAATGCCTTAGTGTCACTTTTCCTCTTGCTATGGTTATGACTGCCAAATGCGTCTATATACAATCTGCCACAAAACAAGTTTGCAAAATATGGTCACTCGAGGGGGAGGAGGGGGAGGAGGAGGAGGAAGATACGGGGCCATAATCCATGCAATATCCCTAGGTAACTCAGCTAATGGTGACTTTTCTAGACGTTGTTCTTGAGCTCAGTGGTAAAGTAAACTAATGGGCAACTCTGCTTCACCATTGTCTCCAATACACTTTTTATAATAGTTCAACTCGAAACCATCACACTTTCCTCTCACCACCTACTTCAGGGAACTGGCAACGGTGGGTGAACTTTTCCACCGCTGAATATAACCAGTTGTTTTCTTATTGACCGGTCCAATCTTCGGCCTCACAAAAGCAAATACTTTGTTAGGTCTGGTTAAAATCGTTACGCATTTCATTCCAACGCTAACAGAATGGGCTAACCTAGGCGGGATACACAACAATATTTTGTACTGACATATCCGAAAGGCTTCAGTCATCACACAGGGTGAATTTGCATGTGTCAGGAAAGGTAATCTGCCGCAAGGCTGCCAGCTTTTCTTTCATTAATTTCACCTCCGCTCGGAGCTCCAAAATATCATCATGGGCGTGTTCGAGAATGGCAGCTCGTTTCACTCGTTGGGGAAGTTTGCCAGGCTTGATGCGCATATTATTTTGTGGACCACAGCGACGACTTAGGACGTGCTCCAGGTGTAGGAAATTGAGATTGATGCTTTCACGATACCGCTTTTCTACTAAGTTGTGGGTTCTTTTTCGGCACATTTGCTCACTAATGGGTTCATTCACTGAACTAAGTGTCCAATTCGGAAAACATTCTGATTGCAAAGTGGTCTTTCCAGTTCCGCTAAGGGGGTCAGACAGGAATGGTTGGTAATTCGGTTGTGTTATGTTGTCTGGTGTAATCGAAGGTGTGGTCCCTTCATAATTATCCTCATCTATACATTTGTGGCAGCTGTTGATGACTTCGGAACTGGGCATGCCAACTGGGTAAAAGTGCCCTTGAGATTCGTGTGGAAGCTGATTATAGCAAAAGTTCTTAGCGGAAGTATTCAATGTTCAGTTGCGTGATTGGGGTAGTCAGTACATACGCAGTTAGGATCAAGAAAACTGTACCCGTCAACGAAGAAAGTTGAAGGTTTAATCCAGGTCCCTTGCGAAGGATTTCTTAATGCAGCATTATCGGTGTAAATCCCATTCCCCGAGAATGTGAAATCCTGGCAGCCCCAGGAACAAGGTTCTGGGTAGAGAGGATCTTTAGTCCCGGAGGGATGAGTCGGCCAAAGACAATCCGTCATTTGCTCTTCCGCAGGCGTCGCGATCAAAGTCATTTCGTGAGTCCCGATCATTCGATAAGTTGAAGCGGCAAAGAGCTATTAGTGAGTTTTATAATCATATTCCGAATAAAGCTTGATGGAGGAGCCTCTTCTGGCGATCATACACTGGTACGAGCCCCCAGAACACTTCCGTTTGCAGCAGTACATACAGTGGTTTGGTCGGTTGTTGGTGGCTGACATTTTAGTGTACCAGGAAGGTGTTTTCGGCTCCTAATTTTACCCTCTCACTGCAAAGCACGAATTCCCTACGAAGAAAATTAATTTGATGGCAATGTAGCTTGAACCGTGTGCCCTACGGTCAGTTCCTTGGGCACTTGAACGTGCCGTGGAAAAGTTGACCAACTCGAACCTTACTACCGTAAAGAGCCCCCCCACCACCCATGACGTAAAGTGCCAAGATAAGCTCCCGAGGCTATGAGACGCTCCCAGCAGCGATATCCAAAATAGTTGTTCAATCAATGGCCTCAATCAGTTTCCTCGGCACCCTCAATCAGTTCCCTCAGCACTAACACGTACGGATATCCTACGATCCGAAATCAAATTTGTGCAATCTTTGGAAAGGCCGAAGGGAACTACGGTTCCTCACAAGAGCTATTCCAAGCCAAGCCTAATGTGAAAATGACGAAACATAATCACGCACATAATCACCAAGTTTATCAACTTGGGCTACCGCCCAGTGCGATAAAGACCAAACATGATCCTTGTTCTCGGGAAATCAGGATTACAGATTACACTGTCCCTGGCTCATATGTCAGGAACGAATAATATTCTTGTCCCGAGGAAGAACGACCAATGCAGAGCGCAAGGACTCCCGCTTCCCTAAGACGCCGATTGGTCGGGATCTATTTAAAACCAACTGATGTAGCCAATATGGTTCGTAACCGTGGCTTTCGTCTCAAGCAAGAGGATAGGCGACCACACTAGGGGTGTTCCGATGAAAGCGTCTGGGAGTGCTGAAGCCCGTAATCAACTACCTATCTTCCAACCCAACCTGCGAGATGTGCCGGCTCCCACCACTTGAAAGGACATGATCGCCATAGAGCCTGGAGAAGGTTGTCATTACTGACCAAGGGCGGCCCAACTGGATCCACCAGTGCGTTCATCGTTGACAGTGTAGGGCCCGATAGAATGGCAGGTGAACCAGTGTCCTCTACTTCCAAAGTTCCTCGATTACACTGGGATAAGGTCAGCTATGTATGTTGTAGTTACAGAGGTATGAATTATCTTATTGTTCGGAGGGAAACATTAGGCTATATATATACAACGAGAAGAACAAGTTGATTTCCAATCAACTTGGTTCTTCGTATAGATATCTCGGGATTAATTCCGATGGTTCGGCTTGGTTCCTGATCTGCACCTGCCTGATATCACAACAAGAACCTTAACGCTCACTAGATTGTTGATTACCAAACCGTGGATTCCCGTAAGCCAGCCAAATCCTCCACCAAGCCGCCGGATCCACCTCTTCCCAAATTAGCCCCACCCTGGACGGCTACGATTTTAGATGCTCGATCGACAAGGACCTTCTGGAATTCCCTCGCTTACCACTCCCAACCAGGAATTAAATAGTCCAGAGAAATCAAAGAAGCATTTGTCTTTTCATTAGTCGAACTTGATCAAAAGAATGCTCATAAGCCTTCAAGATAATTCGCTGTTCTCCTGAGATATCATTGGACGGTGAGATCTCTCGACCTATTTTGCACCATTTCATTGTATTTGACGAGGATTCTTTTAGAAATATCGAATTCATGAAACTATTGGATGAGACTTGATCCCAAGAGATGCTGAACCCATTGGCAGTGTCGGGCGCTGACGTAGACAGTGATGGGTGCATCAAGAAATAACGGCATATATCAGAGCAGAAAGGTCCTTGCGATATTTTCCTGTCGCAGGCCAAGCATATCTCATGCCCCAAGGGCATTTATGGAGAGAATATTGATGGAAATAGAAATGCTCAAGATTTTCCAGCACAGTAGCTGTTGTAGAAGAGATTTTATTGTCTGCCTTGATTACTGCATCATGCATTATTCTAGGGCGGGGTCAATGTATGATTTTTATTTTATGAGTCTCTGGGACTTCCTGAAAGATAATGAATCTGTGGATGGGATCATGACGGACGACGCTTGGTCTCTGTGTGCTAGGTACTAACCATTAAATTTCATTGGTCGGAAATGAATTCCAGTAGATTACGACCAGGATGAATATATGAGAAGTCCACATGAGCCCTCTACAGTAGGTGGTTGAAGATTCCTGATAACTAGCGGAAATGCTATTGGCTGGCTGAGAGAATGTGGCAGAAGTTTTGCAGAGAGTTTGGGTCATTAGAAGTCATTAGAAGTCATGTGATTGGCTGGGTAAACAAGCCGCGCATTCAGTAGCTGGGACTAATTTATATTGGTTCTCGGTCCCAAGTTCCGGTTATTTTCGGTCTTCTGCAAACGGAATCGTTCGTATCTTTGTCCACCAGAGCAAGAATATACGTCACCTGATGTGAGCTGGGTTCGATCAAGGCCTCGCCTTATTACTTTTTGGGTACCCTGTGAGCTTACCAACGACCAGTGAGAACTCCAGGCAAATAGATTACTGAATAACCAAAGTAATACCGCATAGAATCTATGAGCAGGCGTTTGATACTGCATATATTACTGATATGTAACCTTCTTGGTGCGGTTTTCGCTAAGGTCTAGGTCAAACCCCCCGGTTAAACCACGATCACATTCTCGAAGGATTTAGAATTTTTCAGCCCAGTCGCATGGCCATCAGTACATATTGGTTATTATTATTGTATGTGACCATATGACCGGCGCCAGCTTTCGGAGGTCCCAGGCACCCCTTTTAACTGAGCTTTAAATATTATCTTTGAAGGGTATACTTGCCTGCTGATTCTTGGGCAAGTTTTCTACTTACCACCTAATTGCAAGCTTATTGGATCCCCCGAAAAGAGGCGCAAAATCATTTGCTGGTATAAGTCTAAGAATCCATATATTCAAAACCTGGACTAATCTAACCAATTATATGAACACTGGTCAAGCGGAATTGTACAACAAATGCGAGAAAAAGCTCGAGATGATTTCTTCCAAACGGGACTGCGACCTTCCTATCTTAGTTGGTCATTCAGCCATGCTACAGAGTCTGATGTATACCTTGCCCGCGAAAGGGAAAGCCCTCGGGTCTCTATCCCAGATTGTAGAGCTGCTACACAAGTCTATGGAAGAACTTGTGGCGGAATATCCCTTGTTTCTCCGTTGGGTCGAATTGGTGAAGGGAAATGTATCATGACTTCATGAGCATGTACATGGTATCGTCTCAGAGTATTATCGCATAAAGGATTCCGTACATCTTCGATTTAGACCAATTATACGGCCACGAAGCGAAATACCGCCAGATGCGTTCAAGGAAAACGCTATACCAGTACAGCCCATCCAACCGGTCATACTTGTATCTATGCTTGATCCAGGATTTTTTGTTCAAAGCATCATCACGAATTTCGAACATTCACCCTTTCCTCTGGAAGGGAAAATGCGTGCGTAGCTATTACTCAAGCACCTGACAATTTCGGATATGCATTTTATTGAAATCAAGCTTCTTCCTATTTTATCTAAACTACGCCAAACGGCCGGATGAATCTAGGTTTGGGGCTTGCCCATCGGTTCCTTGCGGATACCCATAGATTGACGCGAAATACTGAATGTGGATGCATGAATGCAAATGGTACTTAGTATGACGCGTTAACAGAATAGCTATTACATCCAAATCACCGAGCCAGAGTGTGCGATAAGCTAGGTATAAGAAACGAAGATCGATTAACTTATCGTATCCAGAAAAGATAATGGTCGCGACGATCCAAGAAAACCGCACGGTCCTGCCAAACCGCGGCCTTCACCATCAGAAGAATATCCTCCAGGGGACTTGCAAATACCCATAATTATCGTAGTTAGGGTTCCGAAAGGAATAAAGGAATGCGAATATACGACATATTCATATTCGCACTCCGCGAATATGAATATATGAATTTTTTATTCGCGCGAATAAACGCCGTATTCATATTCGCATTCATATTATTCATATCGTGAAATTTCTCCGCACTAATACTTTGTCCGGTACAGCGGTTATCGTATTACCGAAATGCGCTTAGATGTCGATTTCACAATGCCATCACTTCATCAGCAACGCTGGACTGTGAATCTCCGTTGCGAATATATGTTGGAAGGTACAACCCGCTCATATAGGATTTGACCGGTATGATGTGCCATAGTTGATCTTTTTGAGATATGATACTCATTCATAAGTGTCTATTCATAGAAACTTGACACGACCACAAAGATCCGTGAAGATTATATATATCTAACAGTGCAATTGCGAACCAACTTGGGCAATGAATTGAATAGATCTGCTCATTCTCCCGGTTCAAGTTCAATCCATTTCAAACTCCGTCCATAAAGTAGTCCTGAGAAATGGCACGTGAAAACGCGTTTGCCTCACGATCCAGAGCCTCAGATGACCCTGGCTGCATTTTGTTTACGTTCAAAATCATCGATATCGCGTTGCAGAAAACATAAAGGAGACCTATCAACTTTCCACGTCAAGAAGGGCATATAAAGCGCGAACATGATGGGCTTGTCAACAATCATCCTATCCTCAAGCCCCCTGTCAGTTTCTAACCCCAGCCCAGATAGCTCAAGGTATGTTATGCATCACCGTCGATACCACTTTGATATACTGATACCAGGAAATAGTAGCATGGCATCTTCACCCAATCCGTCCATGCGGAGGACGCGCGGTCTTCCACGTCGGGACTATAATGCTCTACACAATGGCTTGGTTTCTTCGCCTTCAGAGCAATCTGAGGAATCTACCTGTGAAAGACACCCTTACTCTCCTGAGCTCTCCCCATCTAGGGACCCAGAAGACACACCTCACTCGAAGCGATCTTACTCTTTGCTTAGCTCCTCGCCCTCCCCGCTTGATCCTGCGTTTTCGGAGAGCAGGAGCAATACGAGTAGTCCGCACCCGTATAAAAGACGAAAACCCAAGTCGTATTCTAGTTGGACCATTGAGCACTTTTGGACCACAGATCTGGATAACACTTGGTGTCGGCAGGGTGGCCCACCGAAAAAAGACCGACTGCTTATTTGCAAGCATTGCAGCTGGTCCTCCAGAGATTCAGCACGCTACGGTTCCACTTCGAATTTATTGGTGCATCTCGAGACCAAGCATCGTATCAAGTCTGGGCCGGACTCCATCTTCTTACCCGCGGTCGAAGGAAGCCTCGACCGGTTCTTGGAGTCACCGAGAAAGAAGGCTAGCGTTGAAGAAATGCTAGTCCAATGGGTCATTCAAACAAGACAGCCTTTCACAGTGGTGGAGCAGCCGGCTTTCAGGGCACTTATCGAAGCAACGGGGACTACTTTGCCCATCAAAACCGCTGATACTCTCTTTAACCGAATTAAGGAGGAATTCCACTCGGGTAGGGCTTACGTGAAAAATGAACTTGCCAGGAGTAGCCGGACACTCGCATTATCTCTTGACGTGTGGACGTCAGAAAATCAGATTGCGATAATGGGTATTATTGGTCATTGGATATCCCCTGATTTCGAAAAGCGAGAAGAGCTTCTTGAGTTCACCGAAATTAATGGACCTCATTCTGGAGAGAACCTAGCGGAAGTTGTACTGAAGATGCTCGACGAGCTAGACATCGCGCCTAAGCTCCTGACCATCACGGGGGACAATGCAGGCAATAACGGGACACTCTGCGATAGCCTGCATGACCAGATCCTCAAGAAGTATGATAATGACGATGACCGCTTTCGCATCAGGCCTCTGATGCGGTTCCGTGGATTCCTTGCCTTGCCCATGTCCTCAATCTGATTTGCAAAGATGTATTAGCTTCTTTAAAGGCTGGTTCAGCTCGAGAAGCGAAGGCGATACTGGATGACATGGCGATTCATACTAGCCCAGCATTCAACTCCCTTCACAGCACGAAAGGAGCAATCATGAAAATCCGATTGCTGACGCTATGGATCGCCCGTAGCCCACAGCGCTGCCAAGATTGGAAAGAAGTATCACCGAACAAAAAAGTCAGTTATGACGTTGATACCCGATGGAACTCGACGTATATCATGATTCAAGATGCCCTTCGGCTACAAACTGAGCTGGGACAGTTCGTGCGGATACATCCAGAAGTTCAGGCCCTCCAGCTTATCGATGACGAATGGTCGACACTTCAGCAAGTAGCCAAGATTCTGAAGCCGTTCTGGGACCACACAAACTCCGTTTCAAAGGCATGCCCAACAATTGTGGAAAGCCTACCGATTTACTGGAGCTTGGATGACTTGTTAAATGACGTTCGAAATGCGGAGGGAGATTTTGAAGATGTGAACATTGAAATTCGCAATGCGGTGGAAAGAGGGATTCGGAAGATGAACAAGTTCGCTAGAAAAATGGACGACAACCTTCTTTACTATGTGGCTTCCGTGCTAGATCCGCGCATCAAGTCGTCTTTGATTGTGTCTCAAATGAGCGAGCAAGATTCGGGGCTTATTGTCTCTCAAGTGCGGGAATTTCTAAAAAAAAAGAATACCCTCCAGAGCCATTCGTGTCGCGTGAAGTTGACCATCTACGTCCACCTGGGATGTCAGAAACAATGTGGAAGACTCTGCGCAAAGTCCAGCCATCCAAAGAGGTCTCTTTGTCGGATATTGATAAATATTTGGATTCCCCGCCGGTCAACTGGTCCCATCATATGATCGGCGATGCAGACGCAGAATGGGTCCTAAAGTGGTGGAAGGCTAACGCGTTTAATTTCCCACTGATGGCAAAAGCCGCTCGCGATTATCTACCCATCCCTTCAGCAGAGGTCGGGATTGAACGCGAGTTCAGCAATGCTCGAGATGTTTTGGGCCTCCGAAGGCACCGTCTGAACGCGGAGACTATGCGATGGCTGATGCTATTGAGAGGAAAGTCTCAGGCATAGATTTTCAGTGGCGCATGCATGTAAATTAAGTGGTTTAGAAGTAAGGTTTCGTATGCATTTTTTATGGACCAGAGTATAGGAGCTTGGTTAATGTATTGGGATGTAATGAAATGAATGGTTATGTATGGTATTTTATTATATGAATAAATATGAATTATTCATATATTCATGAATATTGCGAATATGAATAAAGGTGTTGAGATAGGTACAGTCTGTGCCAAAAGTCTGGCACCACTCGGTAATTAGGTAATCCCCCATGTATTTCAACCAACATTTGCAATTATATATAACCACAACGAATGTTGTTCAAATTGCTTAAAGTTTTGACAAAATATAGGTTAATATACCATATATATAAATCCATTTTAATATCTAGTGTAGTAGCCCTTAGCAATACGTACAGCCTCAATCCGCTTTGGCACTGAGCGAATAAGCCCATCTATAACACTCTGATCTAAAACATCCCATGCATGCGCAATTGCACGTTTAAACTGCTTCCAATCTTCCTGAGATCTTCCCATATCACCAAGCTCTGGATATAACTCGAAAAGCTTAAGTTTTAGTAGCCTCCATACCGGTTCAATTGGGTTCAAATCAGGCGAGTGCGCGGGCCAATCCATCACGTGTATACCATGAGTTTCAAACCACTCTTGTGCATTTGCTGATTTATGAATTCGTGCGTTATCTTGCTGGAAGATAGTTTCAGGACTATAATGTTGAATAAGACCTTCTTCTAGTGCTTCTAAATATGAGTTGGTAGTAAAACTACCTCGCTCACTTTTAGAATAGTCTCGATTCATGATAACCAACTTTGTACGGCCACCAAGCCATATTCCGGCCCAAACCATTTGTGAAATATCCTTTACATGAGGAACTAAATTCACAAGATCTCGTCTATAGGCTTCTGAGTATAACCTCCAAACCCAGCGATCGCCTGAATAGGATCTTCGTTGTACAGAACATTCATCTGAAAAGATAACATTTTGAAGTTGCTCATTCATACCACAACGCTGCCAATTTAACACATATTTTTTTCGAATACGTGCAGTTTCAGGTTTAATTGGTATCTTCTTGCGAGATTTATATCTTCGAAGTGCTGTTCTTTTCAAAACTCGATATAAAGTACTCCGGGATGGGAACCCAGGACAATTAGCACGAAGCTGTCTATAGGTCCACCACGGACGCCGACGGGCTTGTCGATAGATATATCGGATAGCTGAGTCACTATATAATCGAGGCCTACCAGTCCTTTTTTGTGATAATAGCGTTTGCTGTTGTTGAAAGCAGATTCGTGTGCGGTAAATTGTAGAGCGTTGGCAGCCGAAATCAAGCGCAATCTGTGTAACCGATATACCAGCTTCTAAGGCATATAATATAGCTGCGCGCGTAGCAGGTGGTAATTCAGCGTTTTTGCCACGTTTAGCAACTGATTGTTGCGTATATAAAGCCATAGGGAGGTGGTGAAGGAAAAAAAACGCGTTGAGGGGGGGGGTAACACGAAAAAGCGCGCTAGTGAGTGGTGCCAGACTTTTGACGCATATAGTATGTTGTATTGGTTAAGTTGTCTATCTTGTTGGAAGTGGGGCTCCTCATCTATTTATCTGTCTCTTGATGATCCCCACTACATGCTTTGACCACCGTGATACTCAACACTCCCACTCGATGGCAACCGCTATCAAGGATGCCAGTGACCATCCAACACGGTGGTGCAAGGTCCCGTTAAAACCTTCAAAAAACCTTCAAAAAACCTTCAAAGGGAAAAGAAGGAAAGGGTACCCCTGCGATTAGTCTCTGCTCGAAACCCGTGGGCCGAGAGAGGCGTCACTCAATGCCAAGCCCTCTCCGAAACCACTCAAATCGTCCTCGTGCAAGAGGCTTGGTGAGCCCATCTGCAATTTGTTCTGTAGTTTGGATGTATTGCAGCTCCACTGTTCCAAGGTCTTGAACTTCTCCTTGCCACTTGCGTTGGATTTCCATATGCTTCGTGCGGGAATGGTATTGTGGGTTCGACGAAAAGGGCGATGGCTCCTTGGTTGTCACCACAAATGATTGTTGCGGTTTTTCCTTGGCTCATGTTTAACTCATTTAGAAGTCTTCTTAGCCAGATTGCTTCTTTGCTTGCTTGTGTCTGGCCCAGGAACTCAGCTTCACAGGTTGAGAGGGCAACGACGCTTTGGCGTTTCGACTGCCAACTGATTGCACCACTCCCGACATTGAAGAGATATCCAGCTGTTGATCGTCTGGTGTCACGACATCCACCCCAGTCTGCGTCTGTAAAGCCTTTCAGCATCTGGGGCTGACCTTTGTACGTGAGCCTGAGGCCTCTTGTTCCTTTGAGGTACCGCAGGACGCGTCGGGCGAGCTTCATATGCTGCGGCCCAGGATTTGCCAGGAATCTACTCGCCACAGACACTGCATACGCAATGTCTCCTCTGGTTCCAAGCATAATGTACATCAAAGACCCGACAATGCGTTGGTAGGAGATTCTTTGATCTGGAGGGCATCGGTAGTCTGGACTACACTCTGGGAGGGGTGAAGTCTCTATTGGTGTACTGACGGGGGCGCCATCGCTGACTCCAAACTGATGAGCGACCTTGTCAATATATGCTTCTTGACTGAGGTACAGTATCCTGTTCTGACGGTCTCGCTGGATGGACATCCCAAGGTAGTAGCTGCACGGCCCCAGGTCTGTCATTTGAAAGCGATTTCTCAGGCTCCGCTTGATCCTCTTTATCTCTGCAATGCTTGGTCCCACAATGAGGAGGTCATCGACGTACACCGCGATGTACATATTGCTCCGCACGAAGATTCCAAGATCTGCTGTGATTGGCTCGAAGCCGAGGTTGCGTAAAAAGTTTGTAAGGGTCTGGTACCAGATACGAGGGGCTTGCTTCAAGCCATAGAGAGCCTTGCGAAGTTTACAGACCTTTGACGTGCCATCAGCCATATGGTGAGGCTGCTCGACATAGATCTCGTGGTCTATATTTCCATACAGAAATGCCGTTTTGACATCCATTTGCTCGATCTCCAGGTCTAGGGCCGCTCCGATTGCGAAAAGGGCCTTGTAGCTCATTGGTTTGACAACTGAGGCGAAGGTTTCATCATAGTCAATTCCTTCTTCTTGTGTGAAGCCTCTTACTACCCATCTGCTTTTGTGACGGATTACTTCGCCATGTGGTCCTCGCTTGACTTTGAAGACCCATTTTCCGCTGAGGATTCTGCGATCCTTGGGAGGATCAACGAGCTCCCACGTTTTGTTTTGGTTGAGCGAGTTTACTTCTTCAAGCATTGCGCTTTCCCATTCAAGCCAGCTGGCGTCGTTCTTCGCTTGCTGCAGAGTCTTTGGCTCAAAGGGTTCTGTTTCCTCGGAGGCCAATGTTAAGAACGTTGGGATGATGTTCCCATTAGATATGTTCATTAACGCAAGCTCTCCTTCGCTATCATTAGAGGTTTCTTGTGTGCCCTGAGAGTCACGAATCCTGAGTTCAGGGTGATGTGCTAGTGTTTCCTGTCGCACTGCATGAATTGGACGGTCACGTTGGGGTTCTGGATATCGTTGCCATCCCCCCAAAACTTGTCCTTGTTGAGCGTCGTCTTGTTGCTGGTCGCTGTCAGTTGGTGAGTCACTTGTTTGGGCATTCTCTTGTAAAGTATCTGAGAATGGTCCGAATACATCATCACGCTGCGTGGGCGACAAGGTCCGGTCTCCCTGTTCAGCAACAGGTGGCTGCGAGTTCTCGTCACTCGTTTCAGACGACGCAGATATCAGCGAGTTCTCGTCACTCGACTGAGTTAGCACTCGCGAGTTATCGTTACTCGATCGAGGCAGTGTGTGCGAGATATCGTTTCTCGACTTAGGTGGCGCTCGCTCTGGTGGTGCCATCGACAATTGGCGTCCAGAGGCGGGTACGGATGATTGCCGTATGCCTACCGACGGTTGATTTATTAGTCCCACCGTCCCACTCCCCTGCGGCAGCAGCCGTTACCTCAGGTAAGCCGTCTCGTCTGGCTCCCACATCTTCTATAGTCCGTGTGGAGGGAGCTGTAAGGACTTCGTGAAATTCAGCATTTGGGGTCCCAACGATTCTTCCGTCTTCCAGTAGGATACGGTAGTTGGTATTTCCCTCATAGCCTAGCAGAATGCACGGTCTTGTTCGTGGTTCCGTGAGCTTCTTCCTCTGTTTTGGCGGAATCATATATTCGCCTTTGGACCCAATCACTCTGAGTCGGGATAGATCGGGCTTGTCGCCGTACCATGCTTGGTACGGAGTCATATTGAGTTTTGATGACGGCGACCGATTAGAGAGGAAGGCTGCGGTTCGAGCAACCTCTGGCCAGAATTTAGAAGGTAGCCTTGCATGTGCTAGCGTAGGCCCAGCCCTATCATAAATTGTCTTATGGGCTCTTTCGGCAACCCCATTCTGCTGGTGTTGGTCAACTCCTGTAACCTCAGCTTGGATTGCCCGTGAGAAAAGCATGAATTTCATCTCTTCTCCCACTTGCTCAGGTATTCGGTCAAGGCGTATTCTTCTACATTTTCGGTCAGGACGTTCATTATGGTCGAGAAAGAAACGTAGTGATTCTATAACAAATTCTTGTCGTCGGGGTATCGGAATAATCTCTATCCATCCCGTGAAATCGTCAACGATGGTGAGCCAGTAACGACTTCCATCGAGGCCCTCTTCAAATGGCCCTGCAACGTCAATGTGGAGGAGTTCCATTGCGTATTCTCCTCTTCTGCCCTTTCGCGACCGGCTGTGGGGCTTTTCAATCATTCGTCCCTGGAGGCATGGGTTACATGGTTGACGTGGCTCCATATCCCGAATGCCGTAGGCCTGTCTTTTGAGTCGTTGTAGATTTGCATCACTCATATGAGCCAACCGACTATGCCATAGAATCATTTGCGGGCTAACATGGTAGGAGACAAAGCTGATATTGGTCCACAAATTAAGTGCGTAGACTCCATGATATTGGCTTGCGGTGTAAAGGTTCTTTCCGGT